AATGAAGGGATGGGGGAGGGGTGGGGAACAAAGAATGGGTGATAATGTAACGACAATAAAGCAATGCATACTTTGGCTATAAGGGCATTTCTATCATTTCATAATTTTACCTCTACCACACTGCTGGCATTACACACACACATACACACACACACACACATACACGTGCACACACACACACACACACACACACACACACACACACTCTCTCTCTCTCTCTCTCTCTCTGTCTCTTACACACACACACACACACACACACACACACACACACACACACACACACACACACACACACACACACACACACACACACACACACACACACACCACGCGCGCGCGGTGGGACGCGGAATTCTTTTCGTTTCCTGCGAATTTTGCTATGTACGTGTTTTTTCTGAATAAATACGAAGAGTAATATAATACTGCATACAAAATTCCCACCAGAAAGACAGTGAAGCTCCACTAAAATTCAATCCATTGTGAATTATGAAAATTATGTTAAGACTCACGAATGAAGCAATGCCCTGAGCCCGTGGCTCTTTATGGAAAGTTTTCTCCAGCTTGAAAATGGCCCTGAAGGACGCGCCCACAGCGGCTTCCACCTCGTCTGGGATCACCTCAGACATGGGACCCTCCATCCACTTTCTGCCGTGGGATAAGGAAGATGACTCCTGTATCTTAAACAATAGATTTGATGCGCCATTGCATTGGATGTGGTAATAGAATGGCTGATCTGTGCAGTACGTGTTGTTTTATCACAGATCTAAGCGTAAGAACTGTAATAGGGCCTTACACCGCCCAATCTGTATCACTGGTCAAGCACTAGACGGTCAGAGCTAGTATAAGAACCTATAGGTCAAGCACCTCAAGCAGAAATGGTATGGCCATGTCAACCGTTTTTCAGGCCTTGCTAAATGATTCTAAGGCACTGTGCACGAAGTACGGAGGAGAGGCAAACAGAAGAAGACAAGGGAGGATAACATCCGAGAATAGATAGCAATAGAGCTGTGGGACACACTGAGGAAAGTAGAGAGTCGAGAGGGGTGAAGGGGATTTCGCTTCCACAGAATTAGAAAGCTTTATCTGACATTTTTGCCGTTTTGAGTTACTACGACCGTGAGGTCAGAAAGCAAATGCTCTATCTGCTTTATCGAAATCGTAAGACTATTCAGAGTCGTTATCATGATATTCAAAGAAATGCATTAGAAATGGCTTGACATAAATATTGTGAAACTCAAATTTTTTTAAAGTCAAATATCTCAAAACTATGTACTGAGCAGATAGAACTTTGTATTTCTAGGATAGCGATTTGTAAGAAGCGACCCAACGGATGAGAATCTACGGGAGCAGAAGAGACGAGCGAGAGCTCACTTGTGGTTTTCATTGAACTGGGCGCACTCTCTGAACAGATTGGCGTACGGCCGCATCTTGTTGATGGCCGCCATTCTTTGGGGGTACTGCGAGAGATCAAACCCATAGGCTACTTCTTCTTCGTTGAAGGCAGCAATCTGAAAGGACAAAAGTTTCTTTTCTAATGAGGTTCAGTGTTTTGCCCCTTTAGCTCAATGATCATCATCATTAAAAAGCAACAAAAAGTAGATGGAAACCTGTGTCTGACGTTTTGCCCGTTTGGGCCCCTTCAGGAATCATCATCACCATCAACATCACCATCATCATCATCACCATCATCATCATCATCATCATCATCATCAT